CCAGCTCAGCTGTACCAGAATCACCCGGTAGGTTGGCTAATGGCCCTCTTCACCCTCCACGGCACCCCATGACATAATGAATCAGAATTTCTGAAAATGGGGCCCAGGAGTTTTCATGTTTAACAAGCTCCCTAGGGGTGCCTGGCTGGCTCAGTCAGGCAACTGAGTGACACTTAATGTTGGGGTCATGTGTTCAAGCCCCACATCAGTCATGGAGCTTCCTTCAAAAGAAAAAAAAAATCCTTAAAAACAAGAATAAGCTCACTAGATAATTTTTACTTAGAGTAAAATTTCAAACATGGTAGGTTTAAGGTAGAAGGCAGAGTGGTCACTTCATATGAAACTTCACCTTTCCTATATCACAAACTTTCACCTTCAAACTATTGTTGACACTGTCAAAATTTAGTCTCTATTTTTATGGCCTATTTAAGCACAGTTTGGTTAATATAATCATTCTAAAAATTAAATACCTTTCAGTGCCTTCAGGGCAACATTCTGGGCTCAATTTAATTGGGGGATAATTAAAGAGGAGGAACACAGGGGGAAAGCTGCGTTGTTTGCAGGCTCTGATTGGTTACTGCGGGCCACCTCTCTGCATGGCTCATAAGCCAGGGGTTGTCCTCCCCTGCCCCGTCGGCACAGCACCTCTGCTTCACACACACCACAGCATGCTGGGGGAGAGCCTTGCGCACAGTGTCCTAAGCGTTTCATGATTGTGCTGGTCATTTCTTAGTCCAGGCATGGCTTGGTTTTCCCTAACTGTACATTTGCAGGAGACAATGGCCAGCGTTTGTGATTTTTTGTTTGTTTGTTTGTTTGTTTCTCCACATTAGGTTTGTTCTGACCATATTTACTGAACTGTAATTTTAGGTCTACCAAACCTAGTAAGAAAAAAATTGAACTTATATTTTGTATTTTTACCTCAGTTTTCTTCTAATTCGCTCTATTTTATTGTATTTTGCAAACACACAGCTACACGACAGTTTTTAAAACCTCTTCACTAAAGAAAGCATGGCTTTCCACCACTCTCCTTTAAACAAATTCAGACAAAACCACAACTCTACTTCAGCACATTCTCACCTGCTAAACAGTAGTTTACTCTAGATCATCCATGAGATTCTACAATTCTCTGTGGTTACAGTTATATCTTTTTCCTACAGGTGACAAACTTTTATGTTCACAGCAGACTTTCTGCTATCTTGTAGTTGCTCTGTGCCATCTCTCCCACTGTGAGACTGTGTGGATTAAGAGAATAAAGACCATTTTAATAATAGCCCAATCAAAACGTAATTAAGAAAGGTAATTAGGCATTATTAAAAATATTACATAATATACATCAAAGATAAAGTCTAGATATTTCTTACCATCTGCTACTTTGGATGATCAATTCTCTCCTCCAGTAAGATTTAAATGTTCTCATCAATATTTTGAAGCGTGCACTCCTTTCTGAACCTCCTTGTATTTGCCTTATCATAATACATACCACACTGGATTAGAATCATTTGTGTAACTTAAGCTTCCTTTATAGATTTTTTGTTTCACAAGAATGGAAATCAGTTCTCTCTTATTCACTACTAGGTTCTAGTGCTCAGACTCTGACATATATAATAAATACATATAGGAATAAATGAGTAAGTGGAAAAATGAATTTCTTAGAGGAAGAACCATGCATCAGACTTTCCTTTCTTTACAGCCTCTTGAATATTTCTTGTCCATTACTTTCCCTTTGTTCTATAATCTCTGAGCATAAATTTTATAGTTTGACTAGAATCTAAGATTTCATGTGTGTTCCGAGAGCCATAGTTACAATATGTCTTAATTCCCTTCCCTCAGCATTTTTTTAATTCCAAATACCCAATGTAATTTTTATCTTCAAGTCTACATCTGATGGCTGTCAACCTCTCTCATTTTCTGCTTCGGATTCGCATAGTAAATTTTGCTTTTACATTGTGTATTGATGATCACATCACATCTCTGTTGCTTGGACTGCATAAGCAATGTTTTTGTTTTTTTAACTTATTTAGCCAGCAGGAGCTTAAAAGCAAAGTTTTTTTAAGTAAAGAAATTACTTTCCTTCTCCAGAGAAGATGTAGACGAAGCAAGTTCAAAGAGAAATCCAGTTAAATAAACTTTTGTCTCTGGGAACTGGATCCCCTGAGTTGGTTCTCAAGGTCTGCCTGCTTCACACTGACTGTCTGACCAGGTTTTCCTTTTGTGATCTACACTGCTTGAACTAAGGAAGGAATGACATCACAACATGCGTTTCTCCCAGTGCTTCCTAAATGCACTGACCCCTTGAAAGTTTCAGAATGGCTTCTTTGTGCACTGGGAGGGACCATCTGGCTAGCTGTAGATAAACAAGTTTCAACATATGGGCCATAACACATACACAGCTCTGCTCTACTAGTGCAGAAAATTAAGAAAAGGTTGCTCTCTTGATATGAGAAGCTCATGCAAAAGGAGCAACACCCTGTCGTGGAGGGCCTGCCCTACACTGCACACAGGAGAGCTTAATTCCAGCCCCTTCTGTCCCACTCATTGAACATGTCACTTGATCACACCAAGTTTCCTCGATAGTCTCCTCTGAAAATTAACAAGGATGCCAAGTAAACCCTGGCCTTCCTCTTTCCCTCCACCTCCTTCTTTCTTTCCCATTAAGAAATATTTTTTACATGCTTCCTACATATGTTGCAAGCACAGTGCAAAGTGTTGGGCATATTGATGAGGGAAACAGACACTATAATCACCCCTGAAGATGTACTAAACTATGATGGATATATACATTAAATGAATAATTGAAAACATGAAGACTATTCCAGACAGAAGGTGGAAAGCATGTGTGAAGGTCCTGAGATGGGAAACATCGACTGTTGGAAAATGCAGGATTTTGTAAACATTTCTATCCCTTAAATGGAGGACTCTGCTGAGAGTCAAAGTGTTGCAAGGAAAATGCCTGCCACCTCCAGATGGCAATTCAAGCAATCAGTATATTAGCATAAACTATCTGAAAAATTGTCTGCATCTTCATTGATATTATGCCTATAATCAATGCATCTAATAAAACTGCATGAAAATATGATCACTAAAAACATATACAAGCATGTCAAGCACATGGCACTGTGGCAAAGGCTTTAAGAATGATGAAACCATTTCCAGAAAACAGGAACTCTATGAGTGCCCCTGCTTAATATGAACATAACAAAACCAAACACTAAGTAACCATCATTAAGTGACAGCTTACAAGTACTGTTTCCTAAGCACCATTTCCCAATACCCAGCCCTGCAGGCTGACAGTTGACACCCCTGAGTGAGAAGAGACATGAGTCATCACAGACATTCTTGCTGAACACTCATAAAATATGTGTAGAGTGTTTCTTTCAGTGATTTCCCCAATTCTGGGTTAAAACAAAAGCTGTACCTTTGGCACAAATTATGTCATGTGGGAAGCAGTATAAAGTGTCTGATATTTCTCTCATTCTCTCTCAGTTTCTACTCCCTCCTTCTTTTGGCAGCTATGCTCGTAAAGCACAGTGCACACTGGCCAGACCCTGTAGCCCAAGAAAGCAGAGTTCAATAACCAGGCGTTCGAGTCAGGCATGACAAAGAACAGATGTGAATAACTAAGGTCATGACCAAAAAAAAAAAAAAAAAAAAAAATTAAACAAACTTATTTAAAAACCTGAATCAACCCAATTAACCATAATGCCTTGTCTTTTACTACAGGAAAGGAACAGGACATTCCCTACACACTAACACACCATTCACTGTGTGATATGGCAACCATCTGAGAAACGTATGTCTTCTCTCTAATGGCACATTTCTTCAGAGTAAGGACCTGCTTTATCCATCTTTGCTCCCTTGATGTCCACAGTGCTGAATATGGCATAAGCCCAATAAATGCCCACTAATTAAGTCAAGGAATGAAGAGTCATTCTTAAAAAAAAAAAAAAAAAAGTTACGCGCTGGATAAATTCTCACAGTGAAATGCAGTAAATTATAGACGGTCTTAACTACCTGTTAGGATTTTAGCAAAACAAACAAAACTTGGCCTTCTGCTGTTCTACGTAGAGCAATATTCAAGACAGCAGACCTTCCATTAAAAATCGTTACTTAATTTGCTTTATTACAGCTACAAATAAACTTTATTTGATGTAATGTAATAAAACATTTTTAAAATTTAACAACATTTATCTGACCAGAATTAATCATTTAAATTATGAATATAAGTATATACAGTCACTTTAGCAAATCCATGGTTCAGGAATCTGTACAAGCTTTGTCTGAGAGAACAGCGCCCACCTCCCCTCCAGACCCTTCCTTGTGTCTGGTGAGATGCAATGTTCAGTGAAAGCAGAAGATATCCAAAATCCACATTGGAATTCCATAGTCTTCTGGAAGAGAACAGCTACCTTTCTTGTAGGAAAATAGTTTTCTCTGTCAGTTCTCTTTTATCAAACGAAGCTTTGCGTTCTCTTTCTCCCCTTGGAGGTACTCTTCCGATCCACCATCTTCCTGTCTTATTACATATTACTTGTACATTTAAAAAAAAAAAAAAAAAACTATCTGCATAGGGGCCTTTTCTGGTTCCTTACCTGCCTTAATGTCTACCACTTTGGGGAGGGAGAGGGAAGAAGAACAGAACTGGCCAGGCACACATTTGATTTAGGTTACAGAGAACACGAAAACAATTCTTCCTAAAGGAAGAGAATAGTGTTCTGAGTGTTTCCCAGTAGCAGCCCAGGCAACCTCCAAGTCACATGGTTCCCTTTAATACAACGCTGCCCAAGAATTAACAATGTGGATGCTCCATGTCTGAAAGCATCCTAACCTTCCATGGAAACCTTTCTTATTCCCACACTTCCTCCCCCAAAACACATGGTTATTGCCCAGCCTGGGAGCCCACCGCAGTTGTGTCAACCTGATATCTACGCCCAAAGTTCCATGCCCACAGCCATGCTGGTAGACAGCACAGTTCGGCGGCCCCTGCTCTTCATCCAGGTAGGTACAAAGCCTACCGAAGGAACCCTCCTCACCTCTCAGAACCCTTCAGAAGAAGTGTGAGTACAAGAAAAAGCTTTATTCAGGTTTGATGATTCTCTCCATCCTGAGATCTGTTCCTGAGTGATACCATAACAATACAAGAGTTCACAAAGAAAAGTACATCGGTGAGGAAGTCACAGGGACCCTGCAAAAAAGCGAAACTATTTGACAGAAGCTTGAACCAGACACTGCTCTGGGACATCATTTGTATTAGCTGATGACGGGATTCTGTTTTCTAACACGGACATGCAACACATTCAACGCTACGCTTACCACAGTTTGCTTGGAAAAACACACCCTTCTGTCCTGCCACAAAATACATTCTGTCTCGTGAACGATTCCTGAATATTCACCACAATGCCTAGACTTGGAAGCATGGGAAGTGCGCATTGGAACTTTCTTCCATTTGTAGGGGCTTGGACGCACGCAAAGCACCAGAAACGGTTTCTTTTCTGGGACTCAGTTCTGTTTGTGTGCTTACCGCTGAGCTGATCTGGCTGTCTTAAACAGAAAACTATTTTCTTTGGCACACAACAGCACTGATCCACAGAAAAAGACAAGAGGTCACCATCTCTCTCACAACATGCTTTGTACAACAGATCACCCTGCTTGTCACGTCTCAGCCACCCCAGGAAAGGACAAGCCGCACTCCATTCGTGGCCTCAGCAAATGGTCGAGTTCTGTTTCCACCTCTGTCTTGCCTTGTTGATTTCGTTTTCATTATTCCACTTTTGATCATGAATCATGACTTTTTTTCCTACAGTAGTCAGAATTTTGTCTATAAAAAGAGAGAAAGAGAGAGAGAAAGGGAGAGAGAGAAGACAAAAAAATGATTTAGCAGAACCATAAATGTGAGTTTTCATTTTGTGGTGGGTAGATTTAATTTTGACAGCATTCAGTCACTTGAATCATGTGTGGTTTCTAAGGGGTTATATGAGCTTCTCTAAAAGGAAAGAAAGAGTGCTGTGGCTCTTTTCATAAATTTTATAGTGTCTCTAAGTTGCCAGGGCCTTAATATATTTACAAATCAGCCCCAGATAACCCATTTAGAAATTCACTTTTATAATACAGCTCTAGCCAAAAATGGCTCCACTCTCAAAAATCCTTGCAAAATACTACTGCACTTGCCCCACGTGAAAAGAATAACGACAACCACGTATGAGAAGTGTTCTTCCTTTCAAGCCCTAGAGGGTGCATCATAGAAAGACATGTGTGCAAAAACCAGAGAACCCCATCTCCCTCACTTCCTTCCTCCCAGATTCACAGAAGTGGCATGAGTCATGGAGAAGTCTTGCCAACCATTGAGGGACAGTCTCTTTCTCCTTGGTGCAGAGCCACATTCCCACCAGATCCACAGTCCCCTAACTCTGTACATTCATAGGACTTCACTTACCAAACACTATCCACAAGCTTGAGACCTAGGTCTGTTGAGGTTCCAGGGCCTGGCACTGCACCCCCAGGCTTTGCCTCCCCAACCCAATAATAGTCCTACTCTCACTTGGCTCTCAGGACTGGATAGATGGGTTTTCCTGGTGAAAGGATCAGTTTCTCTATGAGACCCCAGCTCTCGTTTTCTTTGTCTGTCACTTCACAGAATGATGCCTAAAGGGAAGAACCATGCTTCGGCTCAAACCCCCTCCAAGGCTCCTGGGTTTGTGGGAGTGGGCACCGGAAACAGCTGTATCCCCGATGATGCTCCCCAACTGTTCTTAGGCTGGGGCCTCCACCGTCTCAGCACAGAGGAAACACTGCACTTCCTTGCAGCTCAGCACTGCTCTACTTGGATTGGTTCATGAAATGGACTGAACCCCTTCAGCACCATCTCCCCTGCCCCCCTTCACCATCCACCTGTGAGGACACCACTGAACGTTCAGACATCCTTGGCCTCTTTCCTGGTCTCAACACCACCTTCCTCGTTTGGGCCCTCATGGCAGGAGACCTCATTTCCATATTGGTCTCCTAACCCATCTCCTTTCTCCTATTGTGAACCAGTCTACACCACTGCCTTGGTCTCACCCCTGCTCCAAAGGCTTCATCTCTCCCCCACCCACACTGCCCAGCAGGCCCTCCGTGCTGACTTTAATCGACCCAGCTTCCAGGTACTGCTGAAGACCTGCCCCGTGTTCCTTATTTGCCTCCAACCACATCTGTGCCCCTCTGTCCCTGCTGTCCCATCTGCTTTGAGTAGGTCCAACTCTACCTTTCCCCAAAGCTTATTTTTCTTATATACCTATCTATACTGCTTGATTTTTATTTAAAGATTTTATTTATTTATATTTATTTATTTGAGAGAGAGACAGAGCATGAGCACCAGCAGGGGGAGGGGCAGAGGAAGAGGGGCAGAGGGAGAGCAGTCTCCCCGAAGACACAGGGAGCCAGACACAGGGCTTGATCCCAGGACCCTAAGATCACAATGTGAACCTAAGGCAAATGCGTAACTGACTGAACCACCCGGACATCCCTGTACTTCTTGATTTTATTTGGTGTTATCTATATCTACTCAGAAAACAAAAAAGAAAAAACATGTTCAAAGAAGCAAGACAAGCCAATTGCCTGCCTTTCCTATTCTAAAGATATTGCAAAGTGAGAATGTAGGCAACAGCAAAGCAAACAAGCTGTGATTATTACTCACTGATGATTTCATGAAAACAAGGAGTTGAATTACAGCTAGTTAATGATGAGGAAAATAGAACAGGGCATGGAGGGGAACCCATGAAATAGCAAAGGTGTCATTTATTTCTGCCTTTAAGGCGACATCCCAGCACAGATACCCAGAGCTTCAGGGCCTTGGTGCTTCCTCCCAGTTCATACTAGGATCCATTCCTTTTCTTTTCTTTTTTTTTTAAACCACTGGTTTTCATAAAGAAAAGGAGGAATCACCCTGAAACTCCAAAGCTTCAGCACAAAGCTGGGAGCAGAGGATTGGACAGAACTCATTAAAGGAACCCAAGGTGACTCTGTCACAATTCACCACTGCAATCAACCAGGATTCTAAGAGGCTTTTTGAACAGAAAGGCAATACGATCACCAAGGAGAAGAAGGGAGAGGCGAACGGAGAGCTAGTTCAAAATAACTTCATAGAATTATTTTATATGGAAGTATTTCAAAAACAGCAACTCTTTTTCTCTTTTTAAAAATATTTTATTTATTTATTTAAGAGAGAGAGGAAAAAAAAGAAAGCTAGGGGAGGGGCAGAGGGAGAGGGAGAAGGAGACTCCCTGCTGAGCAGGGAGCCTGACGCGGGACTCAATCCTAGCAACCCGAAATCATGACCTGAGCTGAAGGCAGACGCTCAATCAACTGAGCCACCCAGGTGTGCCCAAAACTGCTTTTCTATATTGTTCACAATAACAGTGTCAAAGAACAAAAATCCTCACGATATGACCCTTAAAAACAATTTATGGCAATTGAAAGCAACTCCGTAAGCGAGGTTGTCAAATTAAAAAGAAAAGCACAAGAATCCCTGCTATATCACATTATCACACTTGGCTTTGTATTACCAGATTCAGATACTTGTGAAAAGGTGAAAGAGGTTATAACTTAGAACAGACCAGGGAAGCAGGCACAGCTTTTCTCTCTGTCCACTGCCTACCCAAGTGCCTGCTGGACTCCTGAGTCTCTCATTGTGCTGATCAAGAAAATGGGAAGACATGGGTAGATATTTGGAAGGAGCAATACACAGTTTAGTAGAGCATTTACTCAGAAAAGAAAGGAAACCATTATGTAGGGATAGAGCCAAGAAGGTGGAGTTGGGGGCATAAGTGAACAAAATTAGAACCCAAGCAGCCACAGAGGGAGGAAAGGGCTGGAGAGACTGGAGGGAGGAACTTCAAGTCTGTAGGCTGGCCAAGAAGCATAGGCACTGGAGAGATGGGTTGGGGGGACAAAGGATCCTGAGAAGGTTTGCTGTGAGCTACGGGTTAGATGCCAGTCACTCTTCCAGAAGACTCCTGTACAGTTACGAGTTGTTTGGGCTACCCAGCTGGTGTGTACTGAAATGCAAGTATGGGATTTTTTTTTTTAATGAATATACAATGTATTATTTGCTTCAGGGGTACAGGTCTGTGAATCATCAGTCTTATACAACTCACAGCACTCACCGTAGCACATACCCTCCCCAATGTCCATAACTCAGCCACCCTATCCCTACCTCCCCAACCCCCAGCAACCCTCAGCTGGTTTCCTGAGATTAAGAGTCTCTTATGGTTTGTCTCCTTCCCTGGTCCCATCTTGTTTCGTATTTTCCCTCCCTACCCCTCACAACCCCGACCCTGTCTCTCAAATTCCTCATATCAGAGAGATCATATGATAATTGTCTTTCTCTGATTGACTTATTTCGCTCAGCATAACACCCTCTAGTTCCATCCATGTTGTTGCAAATGGCAGGATTTTGGGGTGGGTGGGGGTTGATGGCTGCATAGTGTTCCATTGTGTATGTATACCACATCTTCTTTATCCATTCATCTGTTGATGGACATCTAGGTTCTTCAGTATGGGATATTCTGATTACTAGTCTCTCACTAACCACGACTGTCACATCATCCCCCCACCCAACGCACTGGACTGAAAGCTTCCAGAAGCATAGACTGTCACCTCTTCATCTTTCCACCCCCTGACATGCCTGGCATTATGCCTTGTACGTAGCAGGCCTCAAAGGTTTCTGGAGAAAACCAGCCACTGAAGAGACTACTTCCCACCTCTGCCTTCTGATTCATCTCACCTGGAGCCCCTGGATCCATCTCCATCTCTTCAATGATTCCCGTTCCCCTATTCACAGAGATCCAGTCAGAAGCTCTCTTCTGTCCACACTAGGGTTTTGCAACTTTAGCATTATAGAATTTGTTGTGGGGGAGCTGCCCCTGTGTTAGGCGATGTTGAGCGGTGTCCCACTGGATGCCGGTAGGTCCTCCCCTCTCCCAACTGTGACAACCAAACATGTCTCTAGACACCGCCAAATGTTCCCTGGTGGCAAAACCAACTCTGGCTGAGAACCACTTGTCTACACTAAAATCCCAAATTCCTGGGGCTAGAAAGGGAGAGTCTTCACAATCTGATCTCATTTTACCTTTCCACTCTGATCCCCAAATCTTGCCCCACCCCAGAGCTTAGCGCCAGCCTGACTGTCCTCTGCAGAAGGCCCCCCACTGGTGCCTTTACATGGATGCTGTCTCTACTCTCCTTTAGCTACAAATGCTTGACTACTTTCAGAGACATACTGGAGCCCATATCCTCCAAGATCTTCCCTGATGAGGGTTAGGGTAAGCTCTGAGTTATTTTCCTCTGCTTTGAATCCTTTAGCTTTTATTTTTTCCAACTTTCCATTGCTTTCATTATGAAAAGGATGGCTGTGCATACATATGTGTTTACATTCAGACTGCCCAAAAGAAATATATGCAGTACAGGAAAGACATCATGTATTTTCTGCATCCTTCACAATGCATGGCACAGTTAGGAGCAAGAATTTCAAAAGGAGTCCTCCCCTATGGAAAGTGAATAGAAAGCTACCTGGTGTCAAATTTTTTAAAACAGCAGTTATTCCAACTCTCTTAATGGAAATTTCCTGAAGTTAATGGAGATTTAGACCAATCATTCCAAATGATTTTCATATTCTATTATTATAAAAAAAATCAATAATTACAAATCAAATAGAGTGAGATGTAATGAGAGAACAGTCATTTTCTTACACCAGGGGCAGCAAACTATGACCTGTGGGCCAAATTCAACTGGCAGCCTGTTTTTGTAAATAAAGTTTTATTGGTACATGACCATCATCATTTGCTTACTTGTGTTGATGACTGCTTTCTCACTGAAAAGGCAGAGATGAGTAGTTTCAAGTGACTCACAGCTAGCCTAACACACTTACTATCTGGCCCTTCAGAGTAAAATTTGCTGACCCTTGTCTTAGACTAACAGGAAAACAAACCTAAGCCTCCATACTAGCTAACGACCCAGAGGCAAATATCCTTGGATGCTATGTTGGTGAAGTTAGAGAACAGGCTGCGTTCCTAGAGGTGTTCAGAGTCATTTGGGGGGTATCCTAGATTTAGAGCCTCTGGAGGCCATTGTGATCCATGAGGACACTTTGGCTTTCACCTGAAGCAAGGCTGTTCTTCTGGGACAGCTAGGGGGAAGAAGGTGTCCTTTGACATGGTTGTTACCCAACAATGAATCTAATATATGAAGAATTTACAGGGATAAGATTCAGATGAAGTGGGATCTAGACCTAGGGGTGCTGCCTTAGTCCCCAGGTCTGTTACCTCTTCTGTCAAATAAAGGGCCTGGACAACATGGCTGACAGGCAGCCCATGGTTCTCTGGCTGCTCCTGCCCACCAGGTCCAGTGAAGAAGAGTGCCTCCTCCTCTCATGCCCACCACCGCCCTCTCATCAGCACCTTCCATCTTCTCATTCCAGTTTCTTTGCTCTCAAACAGCTTTCAAACAGGAGGATGTTGCCTCTGCCTCAGATTTAAAGCAAAATCAGGGGGCAGTGTGCTAACAACCCTAATTACTCTATTGTCTCCTTCCTTCTTTACCATGCCAAACTCACTAGTCAGTGGGTTGCATGTGACACCCCATTCCTTATCACCACTGGCCCTCAGATCCCAGCCCCTGCCGCAACTGCTCCCGAGAAAGGCAGAGGCCTCCCAGACAGACGCAGCAACCATGGGTTCCTTCCTCCTCCGAAATGGGCAGCGCCTCCTCAAAGCTCTGCAGCTTTCAAGACTTTAATCCTGGCTCCTCCCCGTGCTATCCACTCTCCTGTGTCCCAGGCTGCTTCCTGTTAGCTCTCGTGAATCTGCTTCCTTCCTCGAATGACTTTATCAGCAAAGGATGCGAGCATCACAAAAGCTTTACCGGATAGAAGAGTTACAGTAACAAAAAGCACTGGCATCACAAGAATGGGAGCTGCGGGACACGGCTTGGACGCTGTTTACGGGAAAGGGGTAGGAAACTCGACCTTCCTTGCCCATCACACCAGCTGCAATCCCTGGACATACCAGTCCAGTCTCCCAGGCCCTCTAAGTACCTGACTTGGGCTCTGGGAACTCTGCTGGGTAGAGGGCTGGAGTCCAGAGTATCCTGAATTCCAATCTGATCTGCTTAGTAGAAAATCGGCTGGCTACGGATGCAGGGAGCCCTCTGGGACATGCTCAGAGAGGGTCCGTATGGGGGGCGGGGGGGGAGGCGCGGTTGGAGATGGGGATTAAAGGAGAATAGTGATAAGTGACCTTACAGCACAAACTCAGGTCTCTCGGGCCTCTCAGCGAGCTTCAGGGCCTCGTGCATGCCTGCAGCCGACAGCTTGCGGTTGATGTTCCGGTACTGGCACTGGAGCAGGCTGCGGTAGGTGGTCCTCAGGTCCCGGTTGAAGAAGGCATATATAAAAGGGTTAATGAGAGAGTTGGCGTAGCCCAGCCACAGAAAGGTCCTCTCCACCCACAGCGGGATGCAGCTGCAGGCGGTGCCGCAGATGAAGGGTCTGGCGGTGGAGAGGAGGAAGAACGGCAGCCAGCACACGGTGAAGGCCCCCACGATGATGCCCAAGGTGGTGGCCGCTTTCTGCTCCCGCTTGAAGATGGAGATGTTTTTCCTCTCGTGTTTGAGGAGTCTCGAAAGGTTGGCACACTCCTCCACCTCCTTCTGGAGCTTCACCATGCCGTTGAGGGAGATGCTGCTGTCCGGCTCCTCGGGCCGAGGGAAGCCGGGGAACTTGTGCTTGGCGGCGCTCTTCCGCGCGGCCTTGTAGATCTGGTAGTACATGAACAGCATGACGGACATGGGGATGTAAAACGCCACCGCCGTGGAGTAGATCGTGTAGCCAAAGTCCTGGCTGATCAGGCACACCTTGTCGTCGTTCACGTTCTGAGCCCATCCGAAGAGCGGGGGTAAGGTGATGGAGGCCGAAAGCAGCCAGACAGACAGAATCATTTTCGCCATGCACTTGCCGTTCTGCCTCACGGGGTACGTGAGCGGCCGCGTGATCCCGAGGTACCTGGAGGACAAGTAGAAAGCGAGCACGTGACTCTGGGATCACTGCCGAGCAACCAGAGGCCGAAGGCTGCTACCAGGCTTTCTACCTCCTGAGCAGCTCCATTCCTCAGGACAGCCCTTCTAAGGAGGCATCATAACGCCCATTTTACAGCGAGGTAAACTAAGACTCAGGGACATTACCTGCTTCCATCCAGGTCATAGGCTCAGCCAGAGGGACGGCCGCCCTCTGTCTGTAATGCCAGGCCATGCTTTTCTCAAACCTTGCAGGCTCTCCGATTCCCCACAGTCAGTGAACCAAAGGTTAAACATCCGTTCCCCCCCAAGACCACTGCCACTGAAATCAGCCAGGAACAAAATGTCAAGCTGACGTGGGATGTGGTGACACATCTTCACACATTAACCAAGGTCTACCACACTCTAATATTACACACCCACTGATCTCCTGGGTTGTCCTAATTCAGACAGGCTTTTAATTCATTTTAACTTCCCTTTTGCACTGTGGTGAGAGCATTTCTTTAAGATCACAGAGATTTGTGAGATATTAAGGAAATTCTAGGGCTTTGGAATGGGAAGTAGTAAGTAATCGTTTTTTTTTTTTTTTTTTTTTTTACACCCAGAAAATTCTCACATAAGAGTAACGTCAGAAGAACAATTCTATAAAATAAAAACAGCCTACCTCGTCTCTCCTCTCCTGAGAAGGATCACAAAAAAAAGGCACAATTCTGAAAAATAGGAGGTGAAGCCAACATTTTTTCTGTGCTTAGTTCTACATAGAGAATAAATAGTTCTCCATCTCTGCCCATCAAGGATTTCCAATGCAAAAGAGATTCAGCAAACAGAAAACATAAACAGCAAGATGTTTTTGCTAAATATTTAATGGTTTTCAGCTTTCCAAATTTGTTTTCTTCTCTGTGTATTTAATGGTCTTAGCTTCTACTTTGGGAAGAATGCAAAGAGCCCGTAAGAAGCCAAGACAAGTAAAAGCTGTCATTTTGTTGGTTTCTTTAAATTCATGGATGTATATAAAAGATACAGTCTTGGGGCACCTGGGTGGCTCAGTCGTTAAGCGTCTGCCTTCGGCTCAGGTCATGGGATCGAGCCCCGCATCAGGCTCCCGGCTTGGTGGGAAGCCTGCTTCTCCCTCTCTCACTCCCCCTGCTTGTGTTCCCTCTCTCGCTGTGTGTCTCTGTCAAATAAATAAATACAATATTTAAAAAAAAAAAAAAAGATACAGTCTTAACACAGGAAAAGGAAAGGTAGAGAGCCCCCAAATTACCAAAAGGTTATTTTCTGAAAGTCTCTCAGTTGGTGGGTTGGAACTTTAAAAATAATTATTTTGTGCTAGAAATAGCCTCACGTGTTTTGTCTAAATTATCCCACAAAAGTCAAAAAATCATACTTTCATGATGAAAATAGGCATCACTGCAGCACTTACGACAAGGCAAAACTGAAATATTAATAAAAAGGAATCAGCCACGTTTTCTTATTCACCAAGAATATTTACTTATTCCTTCAACAAATATTAATTGAGTTTCTTCTGTATGCCAGGTGCTATTTTAAAAGTTGGGAATGTGGCAGTGAATAAAGGAGATATGAATCTTGAAGGCAGGTGCTTGGGGAAATCATGTTGGGTTGAATGGGAGGACTACGGCTGATGCTTATGTGGGAGGGGCTCCTGATTCTTTCCAAGGATTCAGGTGTTAGTAGCACGGGTTCATTTCACAGCCGCTAGGTCCCTTTCCTCAATCAAGCCGACGCACAAGCACTATCCCTAGGCTTATCAGGTATAACTAGGATTAAGTTCTGGCTCCAGAACAGAATGAAGGATGAGAAAGAAGGCAGTTCTCCTGAGAACACTAGAATTAGAGCTGAAAAGGAAAGGAAAAGAGAAAAGGAGGGAGGAAAGAGGGGGCAAGGGAGGAAGAGGGGAAAGAGGGAGCAAGGAAGGTAAATGCAGAGTAGACTTTGCTGTTCGGGAATTTTCTAAAATTATCTGAGTTTTAAGTCATGGAAAAAATTTTAAGAAAATTAACACACACATACACAAAAATGGTAAATGAAGAAACCCCTGAAGCAAGGTGTTGGAGCTGACTGGAAGCATACAGTTAAGTTGATCCCTGCTCTGAGCTGTTCCATTTCTTTTTTTGTTTTGTTTTGTTTTGGTTTGGTTCAGACTTTTCCTGTTGGAACTGCTTTGCAGACCTCTCTTTTCAGATATCGAATTTGCTCTTTAACAACTCCTGTGGATGCACACAGCCTTTTGGCTTCTTCCTTGTTTCCGAGCTCCCTCAGCAAGCCTTTTCCAGGACTTGGATTTTGATTATCTTCTCTCTTTGCCTGTAGCCACAGGCACAAGCTGCTTGTTTCCAAGCCTGGATCTAGCTTCCTGGATACCAACCCCAGCAAGAGGTCCAACGGGAAGAGACCAGTTCCTACAGTTCCCCAGGTGGCCACCAGATGGCATTATGAGACCATTTTACATCTACTTACTGGGGGGTTGGCTTGTGGGTAGTTAGGGCAGTTGGTGTTTACTGGAAGGAGGAAGGGGGATCACTCTTGATGAGATAAGTTATATTTTATTTGCGGGGTTATACAAAAAATTAGCATGCCTGGAATTCACAACCTCATAAACTCCTATTCTTGATTAACGCGGTTCAGTTTTCCCTTCCATCCTTCAACAGACTCCTTACTCAAACAGGGAAATTCTATCTTCAGGCTTAATTAAATCCAGCCTTTCTACTGCTCCCATAAATAATACGGAATTCACAAAGATTAAGCCTGAGAGATTAATCGAGTACCCAAGGACATCTCACAATATTAAATAATCTTGTGAGCACAGCATGCTTATTCATATTCTAATATACTTAGTCTGACTTATATTGCATTTCAGTGATGTGGGTCGGCCCATATTTGGTCCTTCCTGGATGTATAAATTATAGTCCATAAACTCCTAATTTAGACTCCATTCTCTAGTGGCATCAAGTCATGTCCTACAGTAAGGCAGTTACAGTTACTGGGTACCACCTGGTGAGACTTTCGGAGGCTAAAATCAACCAAAAGATGATTTTTAAAAATACGAGTGCTCATTAAAGTGTCTGGAAATAAAATAAATAAACAAAAGTCAATAGTTTTTTAAAAATCCATCAACAATTAGAAATATTATGAAAGGAAACAACTCTATTCATAGCCACCATCAAGGAATTAAAATACTTAGATAAATGTTTTAAATGCCAGAGCCTACATGAAGAACACATAAAATACTACTGAAAGAATGAAGAGAATGCTTGAATCCATAGGGAAATTTTTAAAAAATACAACCCAGTATTATAAAAGTGCCAATTTCCCCTCCATTGATCTAAAAACAATATACAACACAACAATATACAACTGTACTGGAAAATTCCGGCAGGACTTTTCCTCAATCAACCAAATGACTTTTTAGTTCATCAAGTAAGTATGGAAAAAAACAGACAGTCTGAAAAAGAAGAAAATTGAAGGGATACTTACTCTATTAAAAAAAAAAAATAGTACAAAGCCACAGAAACAAAAACTCAGTAATAATGACTCAGAATCAGACAGGTCAACTGAATAGAATAGAGCCCAGAAACAGATTCAAATATATAAGGGAATAATATAAGAAAATGCACCACTTTAAATCAGTAGTAAAATGGTGTATGTATTCTTGAAGTCTGACAACTGGCCAGCAATTGGGGTAAGTAAAAATAAAACTGGCTTAGGTTTCTCCTTATTCAAAAATAAATCCCAGATGGATCAAAGATTATAGTGTAAAAATGTTAAAATCTAAGGCTACTATGAGGAAATATGGGGGAGTGGTTCTGCAATCCTTGAAGGACAATGCTCATTCTTAACTATGATATAAAAGCTTAAAACTTTATATAAAATGATGTAATGATTAAATTTTTGACAATAATTTTATACACAAAAACAAATAAGTGATGTTTAGTTTAAATTAATAACCACTGTGTGCAGAGTTAAAAGTCAAATGACAAACTCCAAGCCCAAATAACAAAATCTCAATATTCACAGATCTCTTACAGGGCAATGAGAAAAAGACAAACATTGTAATAAAAATACTGAAGCAATTAAACAAAGAAGAAATAAGAACATCCAATAAGCACTTGGAAATATGTTCAATTTCATTAATAATCAAAGAGATGCAAATTTTTAAGTGACTTTTGAGCATCTGTCAATTTTTAAGAAAGACAAAAGCCAATATTAAGAAAGTATGAAAAAACAAGCACTCTTTTTTATTATTTTGCTTAGTGGAAGCTGCAACTGGGATGATAGATCTGGAGCAGTTTGGTAAGGAATATACACGAACATTGACCTTTTGGCTCAGCAACCCAACTTCTAGGAATTTAAGAATATAACTGTACAAACACAAAATGATTAATGTGCAAGGATATTTAGGGGGGAGGGAGATGGAAGGATGGGTGAGCCTGGTGACGGGTATTAAGGCGGGCACTGATTGCATGGAGCACTGGGTGTTATACGCCAACAATGAATCATGGAACAGTACATCAAAACCTGATGATATACTGTACAGGGACTAACATAACATAATAAAAAATGTGCAAGGATATTAATAAACATAATGGGGGGAGGGTGCAGTGTAAATGTCAATAGGAGGTTAGATAAAGTAGGGTATATATGCGTGTATATATAGATACAGATATGATATGAGTGTAGATACATAATGTAACCATTAAAAATTCTGACATATGTATCTATTTACTGACATGAAAACACAAAAAAGGGGATAGAAAACACTATCTAGTCCCAAAAGACAAGTAGCAGAGCGTCATATATTGTATTAAACTTTTTATGTAAACGTAGGTGTTTGTATGAGCGTGTGTGTGTGTGTGTGTGTGTGTGTGTGTGCTGAGACGTCTAGAAGGCTATCTACCAAATACGAATGGGAGTTTTATCTGAGTTGAAGAGATTTGAGTAGTTTTAAATTTTTTCTTTGGACTTGGAATT